AAGTAAAGTTTTTGTCTCTTTCTTTGAAATACAAAAGTCTCTTCCTTTCCTTTAATGTTAGACAATTTTACTGTCTCTTTTCAGTTTGCTACTGTCATAGTTCCAGTTTTTTACCCTACTGTATGAACTGAAGAAGTTTCTGGGGCAATTTATAGGGTATTTGATGCACATTATAGTTTGGGAGAGCAAGGGAACATTGGTCTTTTGAAGAAAAAGAACATATCTGTGAAATTTTAGTGATTTAGCAGTGTGTATTTTACATTACTGTTCTCTCATAGGCTGTCCAGTTGTTATTTCCTGTAATTTACCCCTTATTCCTGATGACACAATAAAAGTGGCAAATGGAGAGCCGATTGAGATAGGTATCTAAGGCTGATGGTCAGCATACTAGTGCCTTCCTTACTCCTCCTAAATTGGAAAATACAGGTGGCTACATGGCAGCATCCTCATCAGGATAGGTAGCAGTTACCTTGGGATATTTGTCATTTTTATAATACCTTGCCTATAATTTCCAAGTCAAAAGCTTCTTTTTCTAGTTGATTGACTCTGGCTGACTTCCAGACACCCACCAAAAGCTGATCTCTCATTTCCTTTTGCAGCCAGATGGGAGAAATAACACAACAAAGAGTTCATAGTTTTGAGATAAGGACAGGGAGAGATCACTCATCAAATACTGCAACAGGCAAAACTAGCCTATTAGACATATTAAATTTATTGCTAACAAAATCAGAGCATGGTAATGTGAAGTAAAATAAGACCTTAAAAACACCTTCCTCTGACCCCTCCCTTCTTCCCAGCTCTATCTCCTCCCCCCAGCAGTGCAGGGATATGGAAATGGGGGTTATGGTCAGTTTATTACCCATTGTTTCTCCTCTCTCCAAGGGTCTGCAGGTCCCTGCCAGGACCCTGCTCCAGCACGGGCCTCCCACAGGTCACAGCCTCCTCCAGGCATCCCCCTGCTCCAGTGTGGGTCTCCTCCATGGGCTGCAGGTGGATCTCTGCATCCCTGTGGATCCCCATGGGCTGCAGGGGCACAGCTGCCTCTCCATGGGCTGCCCCACGGGCTGCAGGGGAATCTCAGCTCTGGTGCCTGGAGCACCTCCTGCCCCTCCTTCTGCACTGACCCTGGTGTCTGCAGAGCCTCTGAGAGTTCCTCTCATGTTCTCATCCCTCCCTGCTCCAGCCACAATTACACCTGCACAATCACTTTTCTTTTTCTTCTTTTTAACTCTGTTATCTCATAGGTGTTACCACCATTTCTAATTGGCCCAGCCTTGGCCAGGGGCACATCCATCCTGGAGCTGTCTGCCATTGGCTCTGCTGGACACAGAGGAAGCTTCTGGCAGACACTCACAGAAGCCACCCTTGAAGACCCCCGCTACCAAAGCTTGGCTTGCAAACCCAAAATACTTCAAAAAGTATTCTTTGCTTCCCCATATCTTTGATATCTTCCTACAACACAAAATTAAATGGTTTGGCTTGCAAACCCAAAATACTTCAAAAAGTATTCTTTGCTTCCCCATATTTTTGATATCTTCGATATCTTCCTACAGCACAAAATTAAATGGCAGAGCATTTATTTTGTTAGTAAAATATTAGGTGTAATGAAGTTCACAAAGAAATTAAGTTTTACAAAAGGCTTCCTTCTTGATTAATACAGAAAATATTAACGTCTAAAAACTAAGATGGCATCTGCAAATTTTGGGGTTTGTATTAAGACAACAAATGGACTTCAATAGCTTTGTGAAGGTTCTTGTATTGACAGAGTTATGTTTTAATGTCTGCATACCTACATTTTCTGGAAAACCAAATTATACTCTTTCATTCACTTCTCTGGAAAAAAATCCTTATCCTTGATATCTTAGTAAAATAAATTATTTATTTTTTAGTGCTAATAGTCTTCTGTTTCTATTTTCTAAACCATGTATCATCTCTGTGTGTGTGTGTGTGCTCATATGTACAAATGCAAAACATCTCTATGAAAGTAGAGGAAACAAAGCCAGGTCTGTAATATGATACCTTCCAGATTCAGCAATTTGCATCTGCTTTCATGCATGCTGATTTTATTCAAATTTTTTGCCCAATTTTCAATTTCTCTGTTGTGAGCCAAGTCAGATCTGAGCAAACCTTGTCAATTATCTAATGTAACACCCCAAAATAATGAGTTTGGCTTAAAGTCATCTTATTGAAAACATTCCAGTTTGTCTTGAACTGATGACTCTTTGCATCATTTCTTTCTTCATATTTTGTAGATTTTAATGAAATTTTCAAATAATTGCCTTATTTCAAATTATAGGATTTAATGTAATCCAGAAAAACAAAAACTCTCATCACTAAAATAGCTATGTGACAGCTAGCTTCCATTTACTTTATTTCATAAATGGCAAAAGTGAAAGATTTTGCAGGATCGGAGATGCAGTAAAACTGAAAAAGTACAAAAATAAGAAAGGGAAAAATGCATATGTGCTTTTAGCTAGTAACAAACTGGATAAGATATCAAGTCCTAAAGAAACTCATGCATTTCTGAGCTATTAAGCCTGATCACTACTTGAAATAAAGCATTAGATGAGGCTATCACAAATTTGCTTAACTCAACTTAAGTAAAAAAAATTATTTTTTCCTAATCCTTCTCCAAATTATATGTACCCACTTACATTCAGTACAGCAAAACCATAGGAAAATATAATTCACCGAAGGGCATATCTAATTCCAAAAATAAATTAACATTAATAGTTCCTTGCCTGTCTGAACTATCCAGTTTCCGACGAATTCCAGAAATCATTTATATAATAGTCAGTGTTAAGATATGCCACTCAGGAAGTCATATATTGTGTACAAGGCTTAATTACATCAACTGACAAAGATTTGTAAGTTTAAAAAAAACAGCTTATAGGTAAAGAGAAACATTCTAGAAAGTAAATTCTTTCCATTTTACTTATCTCTGCCAGTAATTTCCCATATATATCCCCTGTACATTACCATACAGCTGTCATTTATTTTATATTTACACTAACTTGTATCTCCACTTTTTAATCCCCACTTATATGCCATATTTATGAAGAAAAACCATGAGAAGCAATGCTGGATGAGGTAACAAGTTTGTAGTCACAGGAAAACTATTACCAATACTAGCAAATACCCTCCAGGAATGCTGCTGTTATTTGCTGGTTCCTGGCAACTCCCATGGAGCCTGGAGTAGCCCACCTCCAAAGCGATCACAGCTCATCTGTGTTGCTTTGCTTCTTTGGCTGTCTTTAGTCTGAAGCAGATTCATACCTCTCACAGTGTCTGCATCACCTAAATTTGGATGGTCATGTGGGGCAGTGGTCCAGTCTCATCTCTTCCAACACTTCACACTCTGGTGTGTTGTCATGCACTTTTCTACAGGCATGGAGTGAGATAAATGCCATTTCACTCAGAGGATGGATTGGGGCAGATTGGCTTGAGTATGAATTCCAGCTCTTCAGCAGAATGGGTTGAACTCCACACCTCTGTACATGGTAAAGAAAACAACTCAGGCACAGGTGGAGGGCCCCATGAAGCACTGGAGAACAAATGAAATCCCACAGCAAACTGCCCTCTTGCCCACCCTTCCCCATCTTCTCCAGGGCTCTGGAAGATCAAACAGTAAACAGGGATGATGTCAGGTATTTTTTGACCAGGAAAACCAGGGAAGAGAAGAATTCATTCTAGGGTAAAGTATAGTAGTGACAACCAATATTTTGTGTGGATTTACCTCCAAGAGAAAGATGATACATGTTTCTTTCCTGCTTTACTCATGCGCTTTAGGGGGGAAAAACCCCAACTTTAAAAGTAACTTTATAAAAAGTCCGGCCAATAGTCCAGTCATACATTGATAATCTATTTGTGCATGAGAAAGGTAGAGGTGTCAAAAGGGAACAGAGATGCCTTTTCAAATTACATTTAGGTAAGAAAACAGAAAAGTATGTGCATGAAACACATATTTTTTAAATCAACTGATAGGAAAAATTAAAAGCTTCCCCTTCTCTCTCCTCAAGAGTTGAAATATGTTTCCTAATAAAGTAGTATGTTAAGGACCAGGATGAACTTCTTTGCTTTAGGATCAGCTTCAACATTGCTACCAATGGACTGCCAGAAGCTCCTCCAAAACTGATAGTCTGGGCCATGGACCATGGTCAGGAATTGGATGAAAGCTAAAGATGCATGGGAAAAAAAAAAAAAAAAAAACAAAAAAACCTCACGATAACGGCTTTTCCTGGCCAGGTGTTCCACAATGCCAAGTGTACCAAGAATACTCGAGGGATGTCAAACTCCTCTTGCTTTTGATTCAGACATCAGCGAGGGAAGGCTATGTGCTGCTGTCCCTTGTGACCCAACACGAGGCGCACCTGTCCGCTACGGGCACGGACAAGGCGAGAGGGGCAGCGCTGGGAGCGGCAGCACCCTCACCCCCACAGCCCCGCCACGTCGGCCGCCTTCCCCAGCCGCAGCGCCCCTGCCCCACCGGAGGGGCGCGGGAGGCCGGAGCCCCCGCCCGCCTTTGCCCCGCGGGGCGGCGCGGGCGGGCCGAGCGGAGCCGCGCGGGGCCGGGGAGGAGCGCGGCAGCGCTCGCAGGAGCACCCAGAGCTCGGCTCTCGGGATGCGGCCGCGGAGGGGAGGGGAGCGGGAGCGGCGGCACCTTCCCCCGGCGAAGAGCCAAGTTAAATAGCCAGCGCCACGCCGCTGCCTGCCTCTTCCCTCCCGGCTCCGAGCCCTCGGCGAACACCCCCGTGCCATCCCGCCCCGCCCGGCCGCGGGAGGCGGAGGGCAGCGCGGAGCCAGCCTGCCCCGCGGAGCCAGCCTCTCCCGCGGAGCCAGCCTGCCCGGCGGAGCCAGCCTGCCCGGCGGAGCCAGCCTGCCCCGCGGAGCCGGGACGCCGGTGCTGCGGGGAGGGGCGGGCGCTTGGGAGTCGGTGCCAGAGGCGCCGCGTCCCGCCGAGCCGCCCGACTGAGAGGACTACGCCAGCTGCATGGGAGGAGATGAGCGTGGCGGGGAAGCAGCCTCCTCCAGCACCGCTCGAGCGGCCCGGCAGCCTCCTCGTCCCCACCTGGGCAAGTACCGCTCCCCCTGAGCCCGTCCCGGTGCCAACTCCCGCGGCGGGGCGGGGGTGGGGAGGGTCCCGCCGGCGGCGCTGCCCGGAGGGCGGGAGGGAGGCGCCTGCGGGAGGGACGGCGAGCGGGGCGGTGCGGGGCGGTGAGCTGAGCTGCCGCGGCGCCCCGGGCGGGACGGCCGCATCCCGCCTCCCTCCCGCAGCCGGGCGGCACCGGGGCCCGAGCGCGGCCGGGCGGGACCTGTCCCGGTTCATCCTGGCCGCGATTTTCAGCGCGCCGTGACGGGCTGCAGCGCGAGGGTCGAGTTTCCCGGGGACCGCACTGAATCGCTCAGTTTGAAACCCAGCTGCAAGCCTGCGACGATAAATTTTAAAAAGAAAAAAAAAACAAAAAAAAACCCAAAAAAACCAAAGGTCAGCTACCTGAATGTATTTAGCACCTCATGCACTTAGGAGAAGCCAGTGAGGGAGTTAGAAAATAACTTGCTACTTCACGGCAGCGTATTTGGCGAATCATTCATGAATGATGCCCTCTGACGGCGGTTCTCCGCTGTCCTGGTTTATATAAAATGTAGGAGGTCTGCCCTGCGGACCTTTTAAAATCATTACAGACTCTGTGGTTTAACACGCCGCTCTTCTTGGCATGTAAAATTGTTTTGTTGAAGCGCCATTGCAATCGTTCGATCATTAGCTACAAAATTATTCATTGTATTTATATAAAATATGTAGCAGTGCTAAAATAAACTTTTTTTCCCCCTATCCTTCGAGCTGTTTCAGTGACCACAACCTTGCAATTTTTAAAAGAAAAACTGTTTTTCTTCCTGATGTTTTATCCAGAGTGTTGTTTAGAAGTTGCCTCAGCTGCATGCAAGCTGACTCAACAGACAGGTTCTCCCTCACAGTGAATTTGTAACTACTTCAAGCTTCTGTAATCATAAAAATGAAAGTAATATTTGAAAATTCAAGTGTAGAAGAAAAGGGTGTAGAGGACACCTGTCATCATAAGCACGTATGACAATTGCACATAAATCTGTGGAAACAAACTGTTGTCTTGTCTGAGAAGATTTCACAGCCTGTATTTGCATCTATCTTTTGACTGTGTGTGAGGAGATACATAATTTTAACCTCTGAGCTTTTAGAATTTCTATAAATCGAAAAGAAATAATGGAATCAAGCCTACTGTGGAAACCTCTGTGTTTTAAAGTTGTTTCACTGTTCTTAATTTGTAAGACCCATTCAGGAACTGCAAAAATATTCTGTGCAGTAATTATCTAAAATGTTAACAGCTGAGTAGGTTGTATGGCAATTCAGGATATTTCAGTGTTAAAGGTGAGGAATAATCACTATTATTAGGTGAAATTTATGACTGGTATACTTGCAGTTATGCCAAATGTGTATGTTTAAGACCAATAGGACATGCCATTTCTGCTGCTAATCATGGGATTTCTGCTGGGACCAAACTAGGCACTTCATGAATGGTGAACTGACCTCTTGGACAAGAGGAACTAAAGGCTTGTGACTACACAATTTACCTTGACACTAAATGAGAAACAGTGCTGTGAATCTAAGGCTTTCACAAGCTGTCTGTTTCCAACAAACAGACAAATATAGCTTCACTTTCCTGGCTATTTCTGATAGACGTATGTGACTGAAAAAAGGAATTCATAAATAGTCCAAGCAAAAAAGCAATTTAGACTCAAGTTCAACAGGGACATCATATGGCAGTTTTTTATTTAGGTGAGTTCATAATTGCTTGTCTCCCCAGATATGCCACATACTAAACTTCTGAAGAAAATTATGCTCAAAATGTATTGAAAAATAAGAACTTGATTTATAATTCACAGTGTGACAAGTGCTTGACTTGCATCTTCTTAAGTTATTTACCAGTATTGGAATCTAGACCTGTTTACCTTCTTAAAAGAAAAATGTGTATTTTAATGCCTGCATATTGACTGTGTGCACATTTTTCTCAAAAATAAGATATAATAACAGTAGTTAGTGTTTACTAAATATTGCTTGCTGAGTCAAATCAATTGTTTGGGATTCTGGTAGCTGGACAAGATTAATACTAAAAGATAGATGGGTTGTCTTGGTGGGTTTTTTTCTCTTCAGAAGGATAGCAGTTAAATACTACCCCCTGGAAAACAACTCAGCATACTTCTAAATTAAAGACAATTCTAGATTTGGAATACAATACTAATTTGTTTTGCATGCATGTTTTGATTTGTATCTATATCAATGTACCTATAAACTTCTTGAAGTGCAGTTGTTTATGTTCAGTTCTGTAGAACTGAAGTTTCAGTCAGACTTTGTCTTTAATGTTTTGCCAATCTCAGTGTAATGAAACACCTGTTTCATTCAGTATCAGACATGGATTCTTATTCATCTGATTTCAAAAATCAGTATATGTTTCCTCTATCTGTAGTGAACTTTTTGTTCTGATTTTCATATAATCCTTTCCACTCTTTGCCCTTGGAAATACTCAAGGGGTCATATCTCTTAGTAATTGTTACTATGTTAGAGTGCTTGTGCCATGTTCTTACGTGGATTTTATGGTCTCATTGAGCTAGTATGCATTAGTTACTGTGGTTTTCATTGTGCTGCTAGAAACTTGGAGGGGAATGGTAACCTAAGAGGCTCTTGTACTGTTGATACACCACGACTTTAAAAGAATAAATAAATGTATGGTTCATTGCTATGTAGAAATAGACTTTTTGTGGGTTTGTTGGTTTTTTTGGGTTTGGTTTTTTTTGTTTGTTTGTTTGTTTGGTTGGGTTTTTTTGTTGTTTTTTTGGTTTTTGTTTTTTTTTAATAGGGACTATTATTTTAAACTTGTGCATATTATATGTAGTAAATCCAGTTTTCTATTAGCTTCCATACACAATCAGAAGAAGATCAATAGGTGGACTGCTTCTTTTTTCAGCAGAAACCCAAATTAAAAAGGCAACAACATGAACCTTGTTTGGATAGCACTCTTCTCTGCAGTTACCCAAACTGTGTACTCAATAAGAAGGGCAAGTGCAGCACAGGCAGATTTTCCTTTTCTCCTCTCGATTTTCACTGTCTCTGTGTGATTTAGGCACTTGCTTAGAGATGCTAAATATCTATCTTTTTTTTTTTTTTTGGAAAGAGGTCCTGGGGCATTGATGTTTCTTGAGCATTTGGCACTCACCTACACTGAAGCTTCTTGAAAGTGAACACTAGGTGTCATGTTACCACAAGCCTCGGTGTCTTGTCTTCTCCCTATGTTTTCAGGGTCAACAATTAATCTTGAAGGTTTTGTAAAATAGATGACCACCATTTTATTCCACACCAGTATTTTAGTAAGTCTGGAATCCATTCAGTCATACTGTGTATTACTGTCAGAAGTTTCAATTTTCCCATGATTTGTATGAGAAGTTATCAGTATGTGGTGGCATGGATTTCAAGGTTGTTTCCAAGATATGTCTATGCCACAATACAAATCAATAGGATATACTTACTAATTGAAGCTTTTTCTCACAGATACTAATTTTCTATTAAAATTCCTTGCTTCTTAAAAGCTGATTTCAGAAACTTTTTCTGTAAAGTGAACAGAATTTATCTTCTGATTTGGGGATGGGAAACACAAGAAAACAGTGGAGCTTCATGACAAGGAGGAGGTGTCTGTGTACTCTAGTGTATGAAGCCTAATAATTACTTTCTAGTGTAAATTTTTTTTGTCTTCCTGCTTATTTGGGAAGATGTTCCCCCCCCCCCCCCAAAAAAAAAAAAATCAATGAAATTAATAGTTTCAAGATCCTATTAAAGACTTTACCAAACAGTTACTAAATATCAGAGTGATCAAATGTTTCATTTTCCTTCACTTGGCTTCCTTGCTTTCACAAACCGAATCTGAATATGGCTTTTACCTGTAAATATCTTCATAAAAACTCTTATCAGTGATAAAAAAAAAACCCATATTCAAGCTTATGGCTTTAACATCTTAATGGAAATAAGACTTGTGCCCACCTGCTGCTCAGAAAAAGAAGAGCATTGGTATTCCTCTTACACCTCAGATTTGTGTTTCATATTGTAGGCAGAGTTTTTTTCTGATGCTTTAAACGTTTTATGAGATGAATGTAAATAGAATCACTTTCACTTGAGAGTTCAGAGACTGCTTAGAATAGAAATGGTAGTAGAGGTCAGCAGAAAGGAACAGAGCATGACCACATTCCTGCAAAACTGACACCTATTGCTAGTCAGTGGCATCACAATGATGGAGACAGCAAACACAAATCAGATTCACTCAGGTTGACAGGGACCTTGGGATGCCCACAAGCATAACCTTCCCCTGAAAGCAGAGACCATGTGGAATTCACATTGAGTTGCTCAGGTCTTTTCCCAGTGCATCTTTAAAACCTCCAAGGATGGAGACTGCTCAACCTCTCTGTGCAAGCTGCTCCCTGCTGGGCTGTTTTCCTGGTGAACTGGGGGTGTGCTGTTAGCTCCTCCCTCGAAGCCTTATGTCCAAGCAGGCCTGGCTTACTCAGCCTTTCTCACTGGGAAGTTCTTCCACCCCTACCCCATTTCAGTAGGCTTTGAACGGGACTTGCTCTCATTTGTCAGAGTGTTTCTTTGTGTTGCAGGGCCCAAACATGTCTGCAGTGTAATGAGTGCCAAGCAAAGGGAAATGATTGCATGCATTGCTCTCTGTTGTGGCTAGTGCTGTCAGCATTTGTGGCTGGCATCGTGCACTGGTGACTCCTGCCCATCAGGACAGAAGGACCCCTGCTTCTTTCAGTATATACTCTTCCCCACACCTCACCTGCCCCTTCCCTCCTGCCACATCTCAGGGAGAAATCTGAAGGTTTTAAAAAGCAGATGTCCAGTTTAAGTGCCTCTTCTTGTCCTGCTTTAGTTGAGAGTGAATGCAGAACTCCAGGGGAAATTAGCAGATTATTGCACTTTCTTTTTGGTGTGCTTCTTGACATTTTTTGGATTTTTTTTTCACCACCAAAAGGTAGAAAATACTCTTGCTGT